ATATATGGAAGCGGATCACCACCAAACCACTGGACTAGGATGTCTGTGTCAGCTCTTCAGTAGCTAAGAGTATCAGCCACGTCAATAACAGAACGTGGCCTCAAGGGTGTGAATATGGCACCCACTATCACCATGGCATGTGATGAATGCCTGAAAATAGATATGTAGGAGAAAACAGTTTCAACAGATTGACTCAGACTTCACTGAATTGCATCAGAATGACTTGCTGTCTCATTTCCAAGAAGATAAGTCTGTATAAATTGAAGGGCCTGTGATTTCACATAGGAATCTAACTTGACCTTTCATAGCTACTGGTAAAGAAAGCATTGTCACGCACACAAAGGTGTGCTGGATATGACATAGCAGCCAGGGCTTGGTTCTACGTGCCTTTCTGCTACAACAGATCACAAACACATCTGGGTTCAATTCTTCACTCACCCCAGTATAAATCCAGAATGACTCCAGTTAGGTCAGTAAGCCAGATCCTGCCTGAAATAGGACACCTTTGCACTGGGAGAACAAAACTGCACCAAAGTTAACTTATCCATCTCATGAGAAGGTCATCCTCAAGGTGTTAAGAGATGCCATGCTGTTCTGGTCCTTGAGTATCCATTCCCCACTCACTGATATTTTAAATTACATATTCATATTCATATAATGAGCTGGGTTTTCCAAAACCAAGGATCCCAAGGCTGCAAGCACAAGAGCAGAGCCAGTGGATGGCTGCAACATGGTTAAGGAGACTCAACAGTCCAATTAGGATGTGGTAACAGGCAAATAGATAGAAATACCCAATTCCTGTGTGATGATCCATATTTGTTTGAGCTCATTGTATAGAGACCTAAGTACATGTTTGCAATGAGTCTCTTTAGTCACTGGACCTGCTGCTACCTTGCTGGTTTTTCATCACTTATCAGCAAGCATCCTTAGTCGATTTAGATATAAGCATATTTCTTGCCTCAAAATCTCTCGCTCTGAGTCATCGGCAGCTTTGAACTAGCCTCCTCGGGTAGTTGGGTTTCAAAAAGACAGTCACTTGTTTCCGTCCCAATATCACTCCTTTCAGTATGACTGGGATGGGCTCTGTGCTTTACTGGTGCTAGTGTCTTCTCACCCTAGAGCTAAGCAGCTGGGGACAACCCCCTAGACACCAGCACAGAGTATGCAGTTATAGACACAGTGGCCCGACAGGATTTTACAGTGATGTCAACATCCCTCCTAACTTGGGGAGCCCAGAAAACCGCTGCAAGAAGGTCCTGCCCCAAAGTTAGGTAGGGAGAAAATGTAGCAAAGAGCTCAAGACTGCAGCTAGTTCAGGATCACCCACTTAGAGCTGGAGCAGCTAAACTCTGGACAAAGGAGAGACGTCCCAGCCCCCTGAATCATAAACTGGGGCACAAACATCGAGGGCTTGCTCCTCCAGCCATTATTCACAGGACTGTGCCAGTCACTTGACAGAAGGGATGCTCTATGGTTTGTGAACCAAAAGCTGCTCAGCTGCAGATACATAGGGTTTGCTTCTGGCGTCTTTTCTGATCAGTCATATTTTTATCTCCAAGTATAAAAAGAAAGAAGAGATTTCCCTAAGGAGAAGCTGCTGTCCAATACAAAGCCCCAAACAAATCACAGCAGGTAGTCTCCGGTGTTGTGAAGGAGCCTAAGCAGTAAAACTGGACGTGCAGAGTTGCCATATTATTCACACCGCTCCATTCCCACCTTGCAGATGTCAAGCAAACCAACTCCAGCCACCACCGTGGGCAGAGACCCTACGGACACCGTCAGACTGAAATCTCTTGGTTTGTAAGCAGGACCGGCAACAGGTTGGGAATGAAACAGCTGCTATTGTTTATCCAAAAGGGATTTTAAACAGCCAACTATTGGGATCACAGGCAAGAAGGCTACATAGCCGCTATTCAGAAGAACCAGAGAGAAATATGGTGCCTGTGTTTGAATCCCACAGGCTTCAGATCAGAGGCAAGCTAGCTGCACCAGCTCAGCACAAGACAAATATTGTACACATTAGACATCTGGTTGAAAAAAATACCTTCCCTAAAACACAGGCTGTGTGTCAATCAGATGGGCTAATCTCTAGACTGCAGTAATATCGATGCATATGAGGTTACTGTGTTGTCTTATGGTACAAGTGCGATGTCCTGTGACCAGTGGGGTCCCCCAAGGCTCTGTCCTTGGACCCATACTGTTCAACATCTTCATTAATGATGTGGACACTGGAGTCAGAAGCGGACTGGCCAAGTTCGCCGATGACACCAAACTTTGGGGCAAAGCATCCACACCAGAAGACAGGTGGGTTATCCAGGCTGACCTGGACAGGCTCAGCAAGTGGGCGGACGAGAATCTGATGGTGTTCAACGCCGATAAATGCAAGGTTCTCCACCTTGGGAAAAAAAACCTGCAGCATCCTTATAGGCTCAGCAGTGCTATGTTGGCTAGCACTATGGAAGAAAGAGACTTGGGGGTCATCATTGACCACAAGATGAACATGAGCCTGCAATGCGATGCGGCGGCTAGTAAAGCGACCAAAACGCTGGCTTGCATCCATAGATGCTTCTCAAGCAAATCCCGGGACGTCATTCTCCCCTGTACTCGGCCTTAGTGAGGCCGCAGCTGGAGTACTGTGTCCAGTTTTGGGCTCCACAATTCAAAAAGGATGTGGAGAAGCTTGAGAGAGTCCAGAGAAGAGCCACGCGCATGATCAGAGGTCAGGGAAGCAGACCCTACGATGACAGGCTGAGAGCCCTGGGGCTCTTTAGCCTGGAAAAGCGCAGGCTCAGGGGTGATCTGATGGCCACCTACAAGTTTATCAGGGGTGACCACCAGCATCTGGGGGAACGTTTGTTCACCAGAGCGCCCCAAGGGATGACGAGGTCGAATGGTCACAAACTACTTCAAGATCGTTTCAGGCTGGACATAAGGAAGAACTTCTTTACTGTCCGAGCCCCCAAGGTCTGGAACAGCCTGCCACCGGAGGTGGTTCAAGCGCCTTCATTGAACACCTTCAAGATGAAACTGGATGCTTATCTTGCTGGGATCCTATGACCCCAGCTGACTTCCTGCCCTTTGGGCAGGGGGCTGGACTCGATGATCTTCCGAGGTCCCTTCCAGCCCTGATGTCTATGAAATCTATGAAATCTATGAAACCGGAGTAAGCATTGCATGTGTGTATTGCCAGAGATGAAAGCGAAAGCCTTAGAGTACACTATTGACCGTGCCGTAGTGTATACACAGGTTGAAGGCAGAAAGAAATGCCCTAGCTTTTCATTTGAATCACTTAAAACCCTGCTTGAAGGTTTTAAAGGATGGGATGTATCCTGCTCCCAGCTTCACTGCACAGTGCTCATGGTAGAGGTGATCTTTTATTAGACCAACTAGATTTTTGCAGAAAAAATTCTTAAATTGCAAGCTTTCAGGCTCAAACACCCTTCTTCAGCCATAGGAGAAAAGATTGTTGAAGGTATGATAATCTTACCAACGGTAATCTTACCACACCTTCAACTTTCCTATGAAATATGAACTTATCACGCCTTCAACTCAATATGAACTTACCACACTTTCAACTCTCCTATGAAATATCACCCACTTTTATTTCTGCCCAGGAGAACTTTTACAATCTTTTCTCCTATGCCTGAAGAAGAGTGTTTGTGCTCAAAAGCTTGCAATTAAAGAATTTTTTTTGCAAAAATCTAGTTGATCTTATAAAAGATATCACCTCTACCACCTGTCCTGATTGCTTTTGCCTCTAGACCAATACGACTACCACCTGGATACCTTTATTGCCCAGTAACACCTCCCTAGTGCACCAAAGGCTGTGCCCTGGGGTACTAACAGTCTAGGGGGAAGAGATGGTGTTGGATAAGGAGATGTTTTTCCCCATGTGACTTTTCAAATGAAAAAGTATTTGAAAATTTTCAACCCGTTATTTTTAATAATTCTGCCCCAGCAAAGTGAAATGTTTCCATTTTGACCTAACAGTTTGTTTGGACCTAACAGCTTGTTTCATTTACAGGTTTGAAAAATCCAATGAAACAAAATTTCCAGTAGGTGTCACACTGTAGTTTTCCATTTCTTTTCAAATGCTGATTGCAAATGAACTGAACAAAATGAAACAACAATATTTCACATGAACATTTTTGGTTGCAAATTTTCCTGCAAGAAACCAACATTTTTCTCAGGACTGGTTACACCTCTGAGAAGCTCAGTCACTAGGACCAGGGACTCCAGAGATGTCACTGATAACGCACAATTAGCTTGGGATTCAGCTAGGTTCTCAGCTGTTGTCACTGAGAACATCACATGTTGCCAGCCCCCAAAATTATAACTATCACCAGTCACATCCATAAAATATCATGAAAGTGACTCAAAAGTCACATTATTTTTAAAAGAAATGTGCATTGGGGTTCTGGTCTAGCTTTGGGTTTTTGAACAACCCCATCTCCCCCAACTCCATGTGTGTGGGTGTATATAAGAGAAAAATCGGGGTGTGTATGTGTGCATATGTAAAATAAAAATCGGCGTGTGGACAGGGTACATATAAGAAAAAAATCAGTGTGTGGGGGTGTATAGAAGAGATAAAATCAGTGCATGTATAAGAGAAAAATCTGTGTGTGGACAGGGTGTGTATAAGGAAAAAAGTGTGCATGCATGCACATGCACATATGTGTGTATGCATGTGTGTGTAAGAGAAAAATGTGTGTGTAGACAGGGTGTATATAAGAAAAAAGTGCACATGTGTGTAAGAGAAAAATCTGTGTGGAAGGGGTGTATATAAGAGGGGTGTGTGTGTGTAAGAAAATCAGCATTGCCACTTCTGCACTTAGTGTTTCTTGGCCCCGGCACTGGCTGGGGGATGGGAAGGAGCTTCCAGCTTCTTCCCAGCCCCCTGAAGAATAATTCAGTGCACCTGTGCCCCAGCTAATGGACCCCCAGCACCTGCCTGCTCCCATGCCAGTTATTCCTGCAGCCCTGCCCCACCCCAGCCTCACCTGTGTTCCTGTGGGTCTGGGGCTCTTCACTCCCCCTCTTGCAGGTATGGGGGCAAGGTGTGGAGGGGTCCCTCTTTCTCCTTCCTCCAGGTCAGGGGGAGCAGCCAGGGGTGCATCTCCTCCTGCCCTTCCACCTGCACTGTCCCCAGGTGTGGTGGTGCAGGGAGGAGGTGTGGAGGGGATCAGACTGACCCATAGGGCACACAATGGGGGCTGGAGTACGGCTTGACTCCCTGCTCCCCTCCTATGGAAATAGGATGGGCTGCTCTTTACTCCTCCCCTACTGTGAATCTCTGGGTCCCCACTCCGCCTGGTTCCGGCTGCAGCTCTGGATTCCCTTCCCCACACACAAAAGAGTCAGGCACCGGTCCAGGGCCTTTCCCCTGGCAGGCCTGAGCTTCCCAAAGGGTCTGGATCTTCCCACTACCACAGCCAAGTCCATTTATTCACATGGAAATCTCCAGCATTTGCAAAACTGCATTCATCACCCACCTGGCTTGCACTGAGGTTGCGGTCCAGAGTTATGTTGCTAAACATGCCTGAGAAATGTGGAAGTGTCAGCATGGGAACTGCCCGGAGGTTGCCTCACAGCTAATTCATGTGACTAACTGATCTGATAAGCAGAGCAGCCCTGCAGAGCCCAGAGCCTGCTCAAGTCCCTACCTGGCCCATCGCTATGGATTACTCTTCCTTCTCCAGGTACCCAGCAGATCCAGAATCTTTCATGCTGCTTTAGGGACCAGCCATGCAGCGCACAGGGTCTCTGCAGTTAGCTGTTGCATATCCTTCACTCTCAGAGCTGAGAGAGCCCCTGGCACTTAGTAGTCTGCAGAATCAGGCCTTAACTGAAGCCATTAGGAAGCGACCTGCTTTCATTGAGCTGGGCCTATGAAGGTTCATAGTTCATAGATGTAGGGTTGGAAGGGACCTGAGCAAGTCCGACCCCCTGCCCTGGGCAGGAATGAATACTGGGCTCATATGACTACTGGTAAGTTTAACCTCAGTGTTCAGGTGGAGCACTCCCTTCCAGTGGGGGATGCTATCATCCCCTTACACCCCCAGAGAGCACCTGGCCCTGGCTATTGTAATGGGAATTCTCTCCTAGAGCATCCTCTGCACCTTGAGGACCGTGCCCTGCTGACAGCACATCTCCTCAGGCCACTCACTCAGGCCATACTTTGATGCCACAAGTCCATTTTAAAGCCCCCAAGGGCTTGGTTTTCTGAAGCAAATCCCATTTTTCAACTGTGGCCCAGAAACTGTGGTCTGCACAAGGGGAACCAGAGGGCTTTGAGCACATCAGCTGCCCTCAGTCCTTTAGCCCAGCAGTGAGATGCTAACATACCCTGCTCCTGTGCCATAGGGCTCCCAAGGAGAGGTGCTGATGTAATCTTTTTTTATGTAATCTTTTTTATAGTATATCTAGCTTTTGCAAACTATATCTAACTGAATACTTAAGGCAACTTATTGATGCTGGGAGGGGTGTGGCATGTGTGTGTTAAGAGATGCTTGCAGAACACAGCGTGTGGGATGCGGAGGATTCCTGAAATGCCTCCCTAACACCAGCAGGATAGTGTCTCCCTGACACTTGTAAGATAGCAAGAAGTTCAAAAAAAGGTCTCATTATAATGCTAAAAATCACACCCCTGGGCAGGGCAAAAGTATGTTAATGAAACATATATGTATGTAAATAAAATACATGGCTAAAACATAGGTATAGAGACATGCTCAGTAGAGAACGTCTTATGTCAGTGGCTTGTAACCAATCACTGAGCGATACACTTGCAAACATATGTATAAAAGGTACCCAAAGATAAAAACCGGTGGTGCTTGCTTTGCAAACGATTGCCAAGCACCCCTCTCTGCACAGACTGGAAACAATAAAGATTAAGTTGGATCCTCCACCCCTTTGTGTTCATTGACAATAGCGCACCGGACACAAACTCACACTGTCCATTGGGGACAACAGTGCTGCCACATATAAAGCCCTACAGGCAATGCCAGGACTAGGGCCTGCCCAGCAAAGCCAGTGCCACCAGCAGGAGCAAGACCTACTCAGCAGGACCAGTACCATTTGGTTCACTGGGACCTGGGCCTGCCCAGGCAGAACGGGATGAGTGTGTGACCTGGGCACTGCCCGGGTGTGGACTGCTGCAAGGACGCCTTTGTCCTTGCAGGGGTAGGATGAGTCACTGAGGCTGTAGAGCTGTTTGGAGGGCCAAATGAGGGGCTGGGCAGCAGTGCTTGGCACAGCGTGCATGTGCTTACATCCTGTCAGAGAAAGAGAGGCACCTCTGAGCTCTCCCCAGCTCCCCTGCCTGCATCTCCTATCCCCGTGCAAGTTCACAACAACTGAATCTTGCACAGCAGGGGAACCAGGCACCTTCTAGACACACACATGCACCCCATTCCTGTGTGCTGGGCCCCAGATCCACAGCGCTCTGGAGACAAAAAAGTAAGCACATGCATGAAAATCCCCAAATGGCAAAGGCTGTTTTAATCCCTGTGCATTGTTTCCACATCATCTGCCTGCTCTGAGCGCGCAGGATGCTAGAGGCGACACTCCAGTCACCACCTCTTGGGAGATCTCATAGTCTCTGAGCGTTGGATCTCTTTGGGTGCTGGGAGATTTCTGGAGGCCTCTCAAGGCTTTCACACATTCTCTAAAAGCGGAGAGAGGATGAAGAATGATCAGAGAGCAGGACGGGAGGAAATTATTTTATCACTGCAATATTATTAGCCCTTTGCTACCACAGCAGAGATGAGAGCTGTGCCTTTGGAAGCCAATATTCACCTGATTCATTTGTTACTCTACAGGCTTAGGATACTGATGTTCACATGAGACCTCCCAGAGGCTGTTATCATTTATTTCCAAGCTACAACCCAGCTGAATGCCTTCACATGTATCTTGATGCATCAGAGAACTTAACCCAGTGATCCTCAACCAGGGTGCCAGGGCACCCTGGGGGGCCACAAGATCTTTTGAAGGGTGCCCTAAGGTGTGAGGCGATAAGCAGGTATGAGGAGATATAAGTGGAGGCTCAGGATTAACCCTGCCTGGCCACTGTGAGCCCAGTCCCTCTCTGCAAGTAATAAATAAATTAGTTTTGGAAATGAGGTGCTGCTTAATTCACAAAAGTTACAGAGATGTGTGTCGAGTCAAACAAGGGATGCTTTGAGTCTATAAAGGTTGTAAACCACTGCCTTAGCTCCTTGAAGACAGGCTGAGGTGAGATGGAGACATCTCAGAAACCCCAACATATCATCTCCAGAGCACCCTGACATCTCACCCCAGTCTGGTCACTCTCTGATCCCCAGCTCTGCACCATACCTGCCTAGAGGCCCTTTTGGGTCTACTTTCATCAGCAAGCTCTTCAACACATGTCTTTTGTTCATCCCCAGGATGGAAAATGTCTTGATAACCTGCAAGGCAAAATTGTAAACACACACCGATAGGGTCCCTGCCCGTCTTGACCAGCTGAACGCTAAGAACCGTGAACATAACTGAAACACATCACTCACTTGTATGCGGACCGCCTCACTGCTGTCTGTCTCCAGCATCTCCAGCAGGGTAAAGAACACCTGCTTATTGGGAAGACCAAGGGCACCCTAGTAATGAGAGATACTGCAGGTACAATAAGGTCCCTCATGCTGCCCCATCAATCTATCTCAGTCTTGACCTTCAGGGATCACCTCTAAGGAGAAGAGGTCTTTCCACCTCTATCTCTGTTTGAGATTTACTAATATAGAGGCCAATTCTGGAGACATTTGAGATGAGGATAAATCCCACCCTGAAATGACCAGACAGCTTGACCGACACAGGATAATAGTTTTCACACCCCAGTAACCCGGGCTGCGTTTATACCCCTTGTCTAGAAATGAGAAGACTCCCATATCGGTTTCCTGAGCCACTCAGTCCCACTGCCCAAGCAGATCAGAAAGCAGGACACGCATCAGGCCAACAGAAGGAAGAGATTGTATCACTAGGGGTTAAAAATAGGGCTCCCTTTTTAATGGGATGCACAGAAGAAGGATGGAGCCCACATTTGGGAAACCCAAAAGCATGGCTGAAGGACTGGAGAGGACAGACAGAGCACAGCAAATGGAGAGAGGTTAGGAATGGGCTGTGTGGGAAAAAGAAAGAGCAAGGAAAAGGCAAGTGGAGCTGCAGCCAGAGAGAGCTAGGACAGCCCTACACACCATCACCCACACACTACCAACAGGTCTGAAGGGCCTAATGCGGCTGAATAGTGTGCCTTACCAATGAAGCAACGGCCTGTCTTCTGATCATCTTGCACTTCTCTTTCAGCTGGCTGCAGGAAGCAAAAGAGCAATGCAAGAGGAAGGGAAATTAGGTTTGTTCTGCCTTTCCTTTCCAGGGTTTGAAGGGAAGGGGAGCAGTCTCACTATGTTCACTTCTTGCTGCCATCATTGGTGCCTCCTTGAGTCTCCCCCACCTTCCAATCTGGTTTCAGTTCACTCCCACTAAAACTGTGTAAACTCTTGTGTTTTAAAACTACCTTTAATTCTGTCTCCTCTCTCTGATGGAGAGGAGAGGAGAGGAGAGGAGAGGGATCCCAACCTACAGTCTACTCTCCAACTTCTGCAAACGGAGCTGTGGCTCAAGGACTGGACTCTAAAGTCACCTCAAGACCCATCAACGAGCCTCAGTAGAAATCATGCTTGAAGCAAGGGATTGCTGACGATGATACCCCAGCCCCATAACATGATGGCTCAATGTATAGCTTTGCCTGCTCTTAAATAGCATCCCATGCCTATTAAGAGATAAGAAGAACCTTTCAGGATAGCCCCACTGTCCCACCCACCGTCTGTGTCCCTCTGCTTTGAAATCCAGTCTGCACCAAATCCCTTCTGGCCAGGAGTGCAGACAGTGATCTGGTGACAATCAGGCCAGCAGGAAGGTTCCTAAAGATCAGGAAACTGTGATGGAAACAAGCCTAGACCACAGCAGGGGCTTTGTCATGGGGTAGGATGGAGGCAGGTTGTAGTCAGCACCTGGATCTCTTACTCTTTAGTTTGTAACTTACTTCTCCACAATATCCCACACCTGTTCCTTCATGTGCAAAACTTCCACAGTCATTGCCACCATCTGCCTGACTACCTGTGAACAAGAGAGAGGGGGGTGGGTCAGGAAGGAGATGCTGTGCCAGGCAGAGGAAGAAGTGCAGCAGGTGCTGTAGCAGGTACATGTCACAGCAGGCAGAAGAGTGAGGATGGTGTGTGTGAGCTCAAGTCTAGGGACCCAGATCCATACTTCAAGGCCAGTCTCTCTGGCTGTAATCGGCTAAATCACAGAGCACTGGATTTGGGCTCCTGACTTTGTGGCTTGGGCCCCTATTTAAATGTAAGCGAACTCACCTGCAAATCATCAGTCTTGATGGCTCAGAAAAGGAGGGGGAAGACCTCATTGCATGGTGTCTACTTAGAGTGGGCGAGAAAGGGGTGGATTCCTGACCTGAATGGCCCCGTGGAAGGGAAGTCAGCTCTTGAATGCCATTGTGATTGCATTCTCCATGGCCCAACACTCACCAGAAATGGCTCACAGTGCAGCTTTTCTAGCAGTACCATAAACACCTCATCTTCCAGATCTTCCTGCTGGATCCGCCATAGCCCAATGCAGCTCAGCAAACTGGCAGAATCGGCACGATACTGTGGGGAGGAGGCATGAAGAGAGAA